ACACACACACACACACACACACACACACACACACACACACACACACAGAATAGATGGGTCTGTAGACTCGGGGACAGAATTGAAGTGAAGAGGCATCGAAACTGATCGGAGAAGGGAACGGAGCCGGGAGCGAGGCGATTTGGATGATGGGCATTCCGAACGCAAAGACGAAAACGGAGACGTTGGTTGAGGCGCCAGATCCCGCGTCTCGCTCGTCTTCCGCTTCGCTCGGACTGTCCTCGCCGCGAAGAAGAAGCACTTCGAGAAGGAGAACTTTTGCCGACGACGTTGAAGAATGCTTTCGACGGATCATCGAACTGAAGCACTCCGATTGATGACCTAACAGAATGCCTTTGCGACGAAAAGTCGCCTTTCGAGGCATCTGTTCTTTCACAATTGACGCTTCTGCAAGAAAAAGTCGCATCTCTTTCGGTCATTGAACCGCGATGGCCAGGACCTGATATTCAGCTTTTCTAATTACTCGCACTTATCACCGGTTTTGCGCACAGACGCTAGCATGCATGCACACACAGACACACACAGACATACACAAACACACACAGACACATAAAGACACATACAGACACACACATACACACAGAGACACATACAGACACATACAGTCACACAGAGACACATAGAGACACACACAGAGACACACAGACACACACAGACACATAGAGACACACAGAGACACATAGAGACACACACAGACATACACAAACTCACACAGACACATACAGACACACACAGACACATAGAGACACACACATACACATACAGTCACACAGATACACATAGAGACACACACAGGCATACAGAAACACACACAGACACATACAGACACATACACACAGAGACACAGATACACACAGGCAGACTAGAGTGTACGTGAATCAACGCAATCTTTCTGTATGCATGTTTGCCAGAAATGAGCATGTGTATGACATGGGAAAAAGTCGGTCAGTCGTGTCGACTTTGTGTCAAGCGGAGACTTGTGCAAGAATGAATGGCAGCTCTGACGACGTTCGTGAGTTGGTACGACGAGATAGATAGATAGATAGATAGATAGATAAATAAATGGATAGATAGATAGATAGATAGATAGATAAATGGATATAGATAGATAGATAGATAGATAGATAGAT